GCCCAGGAGGTAAAGACTGCAGAACCACTATACTCCAGCTTGGGTGACACAGTGAGAACCCATCTCAAAAAAAAAAAGCACTGTAGTTTTTGGATTTTGAGTTCTATTAAATGTCAGGTATAATCAGGTCCCTGGTATTTACATCAAAAGGTGAACACAAAGAAATTTAGGTAGACTTTCTTATTTGTGGCTCTTAGTTGTTGAAAGAGACAAAAAACAATTGGTGTTTTAACTCCAAAAATATTAGAAATCTTTAAGTGGGTTGGAAAAGGCTATCATCAAATAAAAGAACTACCACATATGAAGAAAGAAAATGTTCTCACTTTTTCATCTGAATAGTGATAGAATTATTATACTCTAGTTTAATAGTCATTCCTTTGATTTTTATGGCAGGGTTTAGTATTAGACCACTTATCTTTAGTGTTTCATCCCTGATTTAAAGATTTAATTTCAAAAATCACCTGGATTGTAAGTGAAAGGAATTAATGCAGAGCCATAGAAATATATTGCTTTATTGTTGGAGATTGCTTTAAAAAATATCCTTACCATTTTTGTAACAATTCCATGGGAGAAAAAGTTTAAATTCCTATTATTTTTGTCCATAAGTTATCTTTTATATTGATGAACTCATTTTAGTCATTTCTGTGTGCATATATAAAGATGGATAGATGGTTAAACAGACATGAAATGACAGAAGTAACAAGGAGAAAAAGGTTGGTGCATGATATATTCAGTTTACTCTCAAACTTTAAGTTCATATTTTCTTTTCTTTTCTTTCCTTTTTTTTTTTTTGAGTTGGAGTCTCACTCTGTTGCCCAGGCTGGAGTGCAGTAGCATGCTCATGGCCACTTCAGCCTTGACCTGCTGGGCTCAGGTGATCCTCCCACTTCAGCCTTCCAAGTAGCTGGAACCACAGGTGAGCCCCCCTTAATTTTGTTGCAGAGACGAGGTCTCACCAAGTGACCTAGACTGATCTCAAACTCCTGGACTCAGGCAATCCTCTCACCTCTGCCTCCCAAAGTGCTGGAATTACAGGCATGAGTCACCTCCCCCGGCTTTATGTTCATATTTTCTAAGAAAGAAGACATTCTCTTTTGTATGTATTTCCTAAAAAGAAGATATTCTTTTTTTGTTACCACAATACAGTTTGTCAAGTGGTGATTTTTCTAAAGAGAGTTTCCGTTTCTTTCCAAACTTCCTTCACTTTTAGATTATTGCTCTGATCTCTGAGTTCTTTTTATCCAGTGTAATCTTTCTGATGCTCAGAGTATCCCAGAATTCACAAGTGGGAGTCCTGCAAAGTGGCTGTTATATCCTTCTTGTATGTTCCTGTCAGTTTCTGAGTACTTGCTTGTTTTTTTGGCACAAAAAGATGTTCCAGGTCTGTTTTGTAATTTTCCCACTTTAGACCTGGAATCAGTTACTTTTCTTAAGAAGCTCTAGTTCCTTTTAGCAGGGAATGGTATTTGGAAACCAAGATCTGAGGCACTAGGTGTCCTCATTGGTACTGGGGTGTCATTGCTCCAGGACCTATTGAAAAAAACTTGGAAATATCTTTTTAAAAAAAGTCACGAGTTTGTATTATCTCAGTTCAAATACAACACAACAGGATTCTTCTGTTTCATTTCATATTTTGATATTTAGATAGTGCCAGATCCCCTTCGTAGGAATTGTGCCATTTTGCATTCCAGTCTAGCAGCGTATGAGTGCTTGTGTCTCCATAACCATACCAACAGATAGTGTGCTTTCCAGCTTTTTGAATTTTCACCAGACTGAAATGTAAGCACTGGTATTTCTAAATCGTTTTTCTTATTGTGAGTGAATATCAGCATGTTTTTTCATGTTTAAGGGCTAGTTGGATATCTTTGTGTGTGTACTATCCTTTTAAGTCTATTTTTTTTTTTTTTACCTTTTTCTTTCTTCTTTTCCGTGATTTAAAGAGCTCTTTATAAATTGGGAGCTTAAGCCGGGCTCGGTGGCTCAGCCTGTCATCCGGCGCCTTTGGGAGGCTGAGGTGAGTGGATTGCCTGAGCCCGCAGGTTCGAGACCAGCCTGGGCAGCGAGACCTCATCTCTACAATAAATCAAAAAATCAGGCAGGCGTGGTAGTGCGCGCCTGTGATTCCGGCTACTCGGAAGGCTGAGGCGGAAGGATTGCTGGAGCCCAGCAGGGCAAGGCC